TCATATTTTGACTAGAAAAGAAATCTTCTAGTATCCGGCCTTTAGGATCAGTGCTGGCATATCCCCATGTGGAACTGTGGGCGTTGAAATCCCCAGCACATAAGATGTTATGGGACCTGTACCGCTGAAGTAGTTGCTGCATTCGCTGGATAGTTGTATGTAAATTAGCTGTCGGAGGGGAGTATAGTGAGACCAAGAGAACCGTTATGTTGTGCATCTCAAGAAGAATAGCCACGAAGTCTCTTTCTGTGGTGATGATAACCGGTGTCCACGCTGGGTTGCAATTGATCAGTATTGCACGGGGTGAATCGTTAACATCTTCTTTTTGGTACACTGTCCATTGTAGAGGATAGCCTACCGCTTTTCCCTTCAAGCAGTATGGTTCTTGGGCAAATATTAGATCAACCCCTTCGGTTGCGGCATATGCGGCAGCTTGTGCCGTGGCTGCTTTGGCATGTTGCAGATTAATCTGAAGGCACCCTATTGGTGTTTGAACTGGGATCGTGTCCATATTAATGTCCGTTGTCAATGCAGCGTCCAGTTGCTGAGGTGGCTGGGTTAGACTATTACTGGTATGAGGTGCAGAAGTAACTGAAGGCTGTGACGTACTTGCTTCTGTATGGGTGTTCACAAACACTTTCTCTTCAGTATTCCGTTGCGCTACGGACGTTGTCAACTGCCCGTTGATAAATTGCGCATTCTGCTGCATAGGCAGGGTGGTGGAAATTGTATCTGGTACCCAACCTGTAATTTGCGTCTCCGCAATTAATGCATGATGGTTGGTCTCCAGTGCAGTCTCTGGTTGCGTGAGCGCCGGAGCAGAAACCGCAGAAGATCTTGGAGGACCTGCACACCTGTTACTACCACAGAAGAAGATATATTTACTTGTGTTTTTGGACTTCTGCAGAAATACAATCTACCTTTGGCAAAATTAAATTCTGTAGCTACAGATGGCGCTCCATCAATGACCGGGAAAAACAAGGGCTTCGTAGCATGACTAAGAAAAAAAACTTAGTGAAATTCAACGGTTCAAACATTCATCGTATGCATTGTATTATACATCAAGAAGTTCTATGCACGAAAGTAATAAATATGGAGAATGTTTTGTCATATATAAAAAAAGTTATAAATTTTATAAGATCTCGAGGTTTAAATCAGCGTCAACTCACTGCTTTCTTAAGTGAGTTAGATAGTGAATATTCGGGTTTGTCCTACTATATCGAGGTACGTTGGTTATCTCGCTCCAATATTCTCAATCAATTCTGGGATTTGAAAGAAGAAATATGTCAGTTTTTAAAAACGAAAAATCAAGACGTAAGTTTGTTTTACGATCCAATATGGATACAAGATTTATCTTTCTTGGTTAATATAACCAAACACTTAACCGATTTAAATTTGTCGTTACAAGGAAAAGATCATATCATTACGAACATGTTTTACATAATTAAAGCATTCAAATGTCAACTAGTTCCTTGGGAAAAACAACTTAAAAATGAAGATTTGACGCACTTCCCGACATGCAGCAGGAATAAATCAAGTTTAGATGGTACTTGTTCGTATCAAAAATACGCAGAAAAAATTGCAAATTTAACAATTGAATTTGAAACGAGGTTTAATGATTTTAGTTCCCTCGAAGACAATTTTTTTTTCGATTTTCTGAATAAGTATTGACTCAGTACCCAGCCATATGCAAATGGAGGTGATCGAGATTCAATGCAACTCAAATTTGAAAGCAAAATTCATTGAAGTGGGCGTGCCTGAATTCTACAAATATTTACCAGCCAGGTTTGAAAATACTCGAAAATTCGCATATGAAATTTTTCCATGTTTGATAGCACTTATCGGTGCGAGCAGTTATTTTCAGTCATGAAAGGTAATAAGTCTCCTATTAGAAACCGTATTAATGATGCTCACCTTGGGTCAGCGTTGAAAGTTATCACTGCAAACAAAATTTCTCCCGAAATAGCAGAGAAGAGATGTCAAGTATCAGGACGTAAACATTAAATTTTTCTTGTTCTTTTCTATATATATGTTTATTATTGTATTATTCGAAATAAATCTACGTTTCTATGAATATTGTTTTTTTTTTTTTTTTTTTTATTCGGCCCGCCTAAAGTTAAACCTTGTTTGTTTGGCCCAAGTGTACCTATGAGTTTGACATCCCTGGTGTAGTTAGTAGACAGAGCGACGCTGTCACATCTGGATTCGATTTCCGGTGTTTTAATTTTTGTTTGTTTTTGATTAATCGCGAGGTTACCGACATTCTTTGCTTGGCGTGTTTTAGAATCCGCGTATGTTTTCTTTGAGTTTTGGCGCGATTCATTTTTTTGTTTCGATTTTAGGTGATAACACTCTGGTCTAAAATGGTTATTTTTATGACAATATGAGCAAAACTTTTCTCTCTTTGTCTTGTTTTGAAATGAGGCTTTAAATGCCTTCGAATCTGATGAATTATTTTTCAACTCTTGTTAAATTCGTCAATTAATTTCCCTTTTAAGAATTCTGGATTCAGTTCCGATTCTGCTCTGGCTTCAAGAGCCGTAATGAGCGTATCGTAAGAACTAGGCATTGAACAAAGCAAAAGTGCCGAAACGTGTTCGTCTTTGATGTTCTCACCTATTGATTTGAGTTTATCGACTAACTCCAGTAATGTATTTATATGTGTTTGCATATTTCCGTCTTCTTCAAGCTTCAAACTGTAAAGCTTTCGCAAAAGAAATAGTTTAATTGAAAGATTAGACCTTTCATGTACTTGCCTGAGTTTTTCCCATGTGACTTTAGCAGTTGTTTCATGTCTAATGTGAATTATTTGGCTGTCTTCGATAAATAAATTTATCATCGCACGACATTGCCGATCCCGTTTACTCCATTGTTCTGTAATGGGGCTTGAAGGAACACCTTCGATTACATCGTAAAGATCCTCCTTTATTAGTAGCATTTGCATTTTGAATTTCCATGTTGAGTAATTGCTGGAATTCAGTTTCGCAATTTGCATTTGACTTGAATTCAACATTTTTGTACAGTTGAAAAATTTATTTTCGGTTTTGATATGAAACTGCAGTTTAGCTTTTATAGCTTTTTTTTCTTTATTGTTATTTAATTAGCTAGATCTTACCTTTTTTCGTTTATTAAAGCATTTTTATATATTATTTAATTAAGCTCTGATCTTTTCCTCAGTCTCATAATCTTTTGTTGTAAAACATTTTATAGCCTTGAAATTTCACAACAAATTAATAAAAATAGAGAGCAAAATGATTCTTCTTACCTTGTATCCAGCGCAGCATTAAGCGAGATCATACCTAATTAACTTGTAATCCAAAATAGGTGTAGACGGAAATTGTAAGATCACAAAACACATTCTTTATTAATACATGAAAAATAGATAAAAATTCGTTAGTATTCCAAATACATATTGAAAAAAGGAGTTATATTATAGAGTGTCATATCATTGTCCTTTCCTGAAGGAGTGAGAAAAGTAAGTGTAAAGAATAAGTGTGTTACACACTTTTGCAGGGTTTCCTGTTTATACAGTTTATCGTGCTATTGGCGACAGTCCATCACTATATGCATACCAACAGTGTACTTGTTTGAATATTTTATATGGATGTGGTTCCCCCCCCGGGGGGTCGACGTAGAGAACTCTGCGAAGCTACTGGTTAGGATCTGTACCTAGGCAGTCTCGGCCACGGGGGTATAAAATCACGAGCCTGGCGGTTCCAGAGCCCGGGGTTGGGTCATTTGTATGGCTGGACCTCGGGGGAAAGGTGTAAGACGTATACCAGATGGTTCTGTAGCTTGGTGTGGAACGGCACCACGGTGTGGGACGGCACCGAGTTTGCTAGGTAATGTCCTGATGGGACGCGCTGCCCGTGTAGTACTGGCGGGAGCATTTAAACGACCGGTCAAGTCCATCAGGTTTTCAGGTCCGGCCTCCGTCGAAAAACCGAGAACGGGGAGTGGTGACCCCTCGGGCCCGGCCCAGTAAGCGGAGGATTTTTGGAGTTATTCAGTCTGAGGATAAGATCCGGTGTTGGACCCGCCTCTTCAGACATTAAGGATTAATTTAAAACTCCTAAGTGGTTTTTGTAAAATTGGGCTCAGGCTAAGTTTTGGATTTGTGCCCCACGACTCCAGCCCATAGAGTCGAATTCGTTCTTGTAGCCTACCTGCCACGACCTCCCCCTGCCTGATATGGGGGTTCACAGTAGGTCGATTCCCTCAGTTGCGTCACTGTTCGCAGGAGAGGTGTAAAAATGTTGATTGATTATATGGATGTGGATTTTATAAGGACATTTTTAGGTTCAGTATTATCTTTTAGTATGTTATTCTGTCCTTACCACAACTGTAAGAATAAAATGCTGCCTTTTCAGGTAAATTGTATTTTGAATTTTTTACGGTATTTTGGTAAGCATATTTTTGCATTTCATTTTATATCTTATAGTGTTTCTTTGAAGTACTAATTGCTATACTATTATGTATTGTATTGAATTCACCTCCTAGTAAATTTAGTGAGAGGATGTAGTAAATAATTTGCTAATTTTCCCAGATGGTAACACTTACCAAGCTCATTTTGTAATTATATCTTGTAACTTAGCATGCGCTGTCTACTAGAACCGAAAACATACATTAGAGCGAATAGAGAGGTCAAGGAAAGCTGTATGCAGAGCGAATTATAAATGAAAATTATATTTTTATAAACAGCACCTTTATTACCTAATGCGACATGCACAGCGTGTATTCATACCTGTAATAGTTTTCTTCATTTGATGTGGCAAAGAAACACTGTACTATCGTGAACATTTTCTCTACCTGATATTTATTAATTTGCTGTCTGAAATATTATACTGTCATATTTTTCTTTTATTCTTTATTTTAGTTTCTATTAAAAATGATTTAAACATTCACTTTAGCTACTTCACTAAAGTGAATGTTACACTAAAATGTCTTAAAATTATGAAAATACATTTTAACATTAAAAAATTATTTTTAATTCATTTTAGTCTCAGGCGTCATATATCAGCGATTAACTTCTTATCAGAAAAAGGTTTATTTTTCTGGGATTATGGCAATGCATTTCTTCTTGAGGCTCATAGAGCAGGCAAGTTCTATTTGTTTTTTTTTTTAGTGTTTTTTACTGCTTAGCGTCTGAAATGAATTTCGGCAATGTTTTCTAAAGTTTTACATGTACTGTAGTCCTACTTCATAACCTCAATTGAAAATGTTTTGAATTTTTCATTATATTTCATTCCATAATAAAAGTATAATCCTATTCTTTATTTAAAAAAATTACAATTTCTTATAACAAGGGGCTATACATAATGTTTCTAGTTGTAATTATTAGAATAATTAAAAACAATTTAGAGTTTATGCTTTAAATTTCATGCTTGAAAATAAGATTATATTTATGTAAAATCCTGACCATGAGTACAAAAATATTGTGACTATCAAATTGAAAAGAAGTTTCTCGAAAATTTAATATAAACGGCATCTGCAGTGAAAGGACAATTATAACTAATGCCATCTGTTTAAGAAAAGAAAATGCAGCAATAAATCAAAAAGTAAACTATTCGAAGGGTGGGGAGTTTAAATCTCTTTTCAAAATGATGCTCTCCATATTTAATGTTCTTTGCTTTATGTAAGAGATACGAAACTACCACAGATCTGATTCTAATGGTCAACAGCTAATTTAATAATACCATTTATGTATGCAGTTATGCTTACATAGTCTTCAAAGAAGTGTTTAATACCGTAAGCAAAATACAATTCGATGTGTCTATCTTACCTTCCCCAGTAATAAAGAAGTGAAACTATTTAATTACAGAAGTTAATGGAATTTGAATTATATCATTCGTGAAGTATATAACTAACAGATGCAGCATAAGTGATATGATCAAGTTTCAAACGCTACGCCCATTCTCCAACTTCAAAAGCATTAAAATATAGTAGTAAATATGTGATTTCTTCTTACACTATTCTTCTTAGATTATTCAGTATTATTTCAAGGGTCATACTGAAATGTTAACAAACCACTTAGACATTTCAGTAAATCTAAGTTAAAATTTTATATTTCTTTTCAACGTAAACCCTCTTCTCTTAGAAAAAAAAATCAAATTAATGGTTCACACAAACAAGAAATTTTGCTAATCACTAAAAAAAATTTACATTTGCATTAAATTAGTACTGTTCTGGTTTTAAGTAAAATTAATTTTGTTTAGTCTCCATGCAGTATTGGTTTCTATGCATAAATAATGATCTTTGAAATGATGAAATGTTTGAATATTTTAATATTTCAGGTGCCGATGTGGGAGCGAAGGAAGAAAATGGACGACTCGTCTTTCGATATCCGTCTTATGTACAGCACATAATGGGGTAAATTATTTTGATGTTTTATATATAATATTTCAACATTTATTAATTTTTTGTCAAAATGGACTAATAGGAACGGAGTATTTGAGAATTAGAAGCAGTGATCGTTTTAAAGGACATTAGTTGATGATTAATAAACCCATGGGAATGCAGCAATTTTTCGTCCGCGGGGGGGAACACTTTATAAAAAAGATAAACTTTCTCCAAAATAAACGCTTACCAAGCTCATTTAAATAAACACTTACCAAGCTAATTAAATAAATTAATAAATTAAAACTAATTAAATTACCTAATTAAATAAACACTTACCAAGCTACGAACTGGAATATGTTTTTCTTTATGGAAAAAGAAGTATAAGTTTTAGAAAGTATAAACATAGCCTAAGGATTACTTAGTATTTTTTCTCAGCATTAAATTAAATTAAAACATTATGATTAAATTTAAATATTTTCCCTAAAACAGTCTTATGTCTAATATCAATAGCTTTCCTTTTAATTCTAAATCGCATATCAATGCATTTTCTCCTAAAATGAACAATAAATTTCTGCTTAATACTCGGCTGGCCTACATTTATAGTCTTTTGCAAAAAGATACCTTAAAGAGACTTTTAGCATATTGTGACTGAGGAGCGAAAAAAAATAGATCTATAAAATGCTAAAGCTTTCGTTGATATATTACTCCGGAATTTGCGAGGAAATTTTTCTTATTTCTCACGAATACATTTGTAGGGTTTATATTTATTTTAACTAACATTTATTTTAAATTTAAACTACCTTTCCTGTCAAGCCTTACTTTCCCCTGGAACTGCCAATGCCAGAATATGTAAATTTTAGTAGAACGCGCAAGGATTCAAATTATCAGCGGAAGTATTATGATTTAAATAGAAGGGAAACGAGTTCGGTGTGTGATATTCTTACTTCACGAGCGCGGAGGTAGTTAGCGAGAAATTGAAGAACCCCGCGTTTCGGCCTATGTGCTTGGCGGGAAGTAGTGTTAATCGTTCAAGTGAGCTTCAAGTCTGCTGAATTAGCAGCGGTATTGTAAAACGCGGTGAGTTAGTTATTTTTAGAGAGCCTCGTAGTTAGAGTCTTGTCTTTAGTTTCTTTTCAGGTTATTATTTTTATTTGACCGCCGAGTTGGCGCAGTCTGTGAGCGTCAAGAGCACGCAATTGTAATTTATTACGTTGAATAAAAAGGGACTTAAACCCTTCACAAGACTCTATCTTTTATACAGTTTTCACAGTCACCTCTTGGTTGCGTGCAAGTTGGAGGCGCGCAACGTTACATTGGCGCCCGAACACTTATCGAACTGAAATGGCCGAAAATTGGGTGGAAGCCGCTGGACAAGACCAAGAAATGACAACTCAGTTGGAAGGATTTGGATACCTGGTCCAGACTTTGAGAGCGTCAATCAAGCCAAACGTCCATTTCGACGGAAAAAATTCGGTGGCGGTATTTCTAGAAGGTCTAGAAAACCACTTTCAGCTCTACCCTGTTCCTGAAAGACAAAAGGTTGCCATCGCCACATCAGCACTAAGAGGACAGGCCGCGCTATGGTGGAAAAATATAGGCAAATTTTTATTAGGGGAATTTGGAAGCCAGATATATACATTTGAAGATTTCAAAAAATCGTTAGTAAAGGCCTTTCCCATAGTGAAAGATCGCGCACGGCTGGAAGCCGAACTATATAGTTTCTATCAACGGAATATAGCAGAATTGACGGACTTTATTCTACGAAAAATCAAGCTAACGGATATGCTGTATGGAAAGAAACCCGATGCGGAGATTATTGAAATAATATTACCAAGATTGTTACCCGCTGTTCAAGACTACTTTGAAATTAGAAAACCCAAGCACATTGCAGGAACTCTTCGAATTGGCGGTGAAGTTTCAAAATCGCAGAATAGCGGAAAAAGCGAGAGGGGAAACATATTCTCAAAGTACCCGAAGGAAATCTTCAAATGAGGAAACCAGAAATGGAAATCGCTGTTATGGGGGAAAGAGCTATCAAGCTAACGCATCGAAACTCGAAGGTCAAGGCCCAAAAAGAAAATTTGAAAATAAACATCCGCGTACCCAGAAGACACAGATTGAAAGGAAAGCTTTAAACGAGTAGAGGGGCCTGTGAAAGGGAGGGTCCAGACCCCGGAAGTTTTTAAAAAAACCCTCAAATAGACATTTAAATACGGTCATCGTAAAAAACTCACAGCTACCAATTATACAAGTCCTGGTTGGCGATGTACCAGTAGAAGCCCTCATCGATACAGGAGCAGAAGGAAATTTTATGAGTGAAAATTTCTTCAAAAAGAATTTTTATAGGGTACGATTATTTAAAACCAAAAATACGGAAATTATAGCGGCGCAAGGAAAAACATGTCACTGCATCGGGAAATTATCATTAAACTTACAGGTAAAAGAGGAAAGTCTCAAAGTATTAATTTTTGTGGTGAAAGATCTGCAACATTCTCTTATTTTAGGTATGGAGTTTTTAAGGGCCGCGAGGGCCAAATTAAATTTTCAAGATAGTTCCGTGGTGTTGGAGATGGACCAGAGGGTGGTGGAACCTGTGGAGACACCGCAATTGGACCTTAGCCATCTGAATGACCATGAAAGTAAAGCAATACAGCAAGTGGTGAGTAATTTTTCTCATTTGTTTTCAGAAAAACCAGGAAACTGCCAAATAGTTACGCACAAGATTCAATTAAATGCCGAAAAACCTTGTAGGACTAAACCTTATCGTATGACAAACAAAAAGACGTAATCATCGAAGAACATATTCAGGAGATGTTAAAGAATAAAATAATAACGCCCATAAATAGTGAGTACGCGAGTCCAGTCGTACTATGTAGGAAAAAGAACGAGTTTTCCTCCTTCGGATAAAAGGGCTTGGAGGTTTGCTATCGATTACAGAAAACTAAATAGTATTACCAAATTTCCAGTTTACCCTTTGCCGGTTATAGACGAGATCATTAGACAGATCAAATCGACAAGATATATGTCTACTTTGGACTTAACGTCTGGCTACTATCAAATAGCTATGAGACCCGAAGATATACATAAAACCGCGTTTATAACAAAATCGGGCACTTATGCATTTTTACGCATGCCTTTTGGGTTGTGTGGGGCCCCATCAACATTCCAGAGAGCTATGGACATTGTTCTAAAGCCTGTCCTAGGAAAATCAACTTTAATTTATCTAGATGATATAATTATAACGAGTAGTACGTTGGAACAACACATTAATGATCTAGAACAAGTTTTTAAATTATTAAAAGAGGCCGGTCTTACAATTAACGCCTCAAAATGCAAGTTCGCAACTAAAGAACTTAAATATCTCGGTTATAAAATTTCGCAAAAGGGTATAGAAACGCAAGATTCAAAAATAAAAGCTATTAAGAATTTCCCACCGCCCAACACCGCCAAGAAACTTTCTTCCTTCCTTGGGTTATGTTCTTACTATCGATCTTTCATAAAAGATTTCGCTAATATTGTTGAACCACTCTTAGTAATCAAAAGAAAAAGGGTAAATTTACGTGGACAGCGGAAGCTAACACAGCTTTTGAAAGATTAAAAGAAGCGCTTATTAATGCCCCTGTTTTAAAATTCCCGGAGGGGGACGAAAACCTGGAAATTGCAGCAGATGCGTCAGACTATGCGGTGGGTGCGGTTCTTATGCAAAATAACCATCCTCTGGCATTTTTTAGTAAAACATTGAATCAGACACAAAGGAATTATACAGCTACAGAAAGAGAAACATTAGCCGTATTAATGGCTGTACACAAATTTCGAGTTTATTTCGGCAAATCGCCAGTAACAGTCTTTTCGGATCATGCGGCTGTTGGTAGACTTTACTCGGGGAAAAACCTAACGCCCAGGTTAATAAGATGGGCTTTAAAACTCCAAGAATATAATATCACAATAAAATATAAACCGGGTAAGGAAAACAATGTAGCTGACGCACTTTCTCGTATAAAACTGGACGATGAAGGAAATGAACTTAAATGCGCTGTGTTGACTTCAAAAATTTTAGATTCTAGAGATACGGTTATTACTGAACTGAAAGCTGATCCTGAATTTGGAAATATCTATGCTTATTTGAAAGACCCCGAAAGCTTTGAGCACACAGATATCGATGCGATAAGAAATAGAGCAAAAAACTATGAAATAATAGATAATTTATTATTCTATACGAAAACAACAAACGAAAATCTTGAGTATAAAACCAGTCATCCCAGCCTCGCTTCGATTAAGCATTTTGAAGGAGTTGCACGAAGCAAAAAACAGCGGGCCACCTAGGGGTCAGAAAGACTTTAAAAATGGTACGCGAGGCGGTATATTTCCCGCAATTATACAAAATAGTAACGGCGTATGTCAGGTCCTGCAATCAATGTCAGTTAATAAATGATATTAATTACAGCCCGGCCGGGTACTTAAATAGCATTCGCGCTACATTTCCGAATGAAATTTTAGGCATAGATCTTCTTGGTCCCTTCCCCCAGAGCGAGTTAAATAAAAATCGTTTTCTTTTAGTAATAGTAGATCATTTTTCAAAATGGACAGAAATTGTTCCACTTAAACGCGCGTCAGCCAAAACAGTCGCAGATGCATTCTTACACAGATACATTTTAAAATACGGTGCACCGATAAAAGTCATTAGCGATAACGGAAAACAATTCATTAGTCAAATATTTGAAAACATATGCAATGGACTTGGCATACGCCATATCAAAATGGTTCCGTATAGACCACAGGCTAACATAGCAGAAAGAGTTAATAAAAACATAGTAAAAATAATTCGCAGTTACGTGAGCACACATCACAAGCGCTGGGATGGCTACATAAATGAATTAGCTTATGCTTTAAGAACGGCACATCATGATACTACGGGAAAAACTCCAGCAGAATTATTTTTAGGCAGAAAGTTAATTACGCCTTTAGATAAATTATTCTTTGTGCAACAAAGAGAGCAGGAGTTTTAAACAAAAGATGTGCAAAAGCTGATT